AAGGGTTCGCTCCTCAATACATAAATATGGGTTAGAGTTGATGCTTGCAGCGAGGCAGTCGCTCAGTAGGCGGCGATGCTCTTTAATGATGGTAAGGGAGTCCCTTTTATAGAATAAGGGCTCGTTCCTCAATACATGAATAATGGGCTAGAGTTAATGCTCTCTAATGATGGTGAAGGAATCCCTTTTATAAAATAAGGGCTCGCTCCTCAATACATAAATAATGGGATAGAGTCCCCCAAGTATTTTTCATGAGGCCCAATATATGGTACATAGTGTAGTCCCCCAAGTCTTCGGTCAATAGAGTATGTTGGCTGGAGACTTCAAATTGAATCCATGTATGGGCCGAAGTGGCAGTTGTTCGGATGAGGTATTTGTATACCCTGCACTGAAGCTTTGTAGGTGAAGCTTTACAAGTGAAGCTTTTGAAGCTAGAGCTCTGTAAATGAAGCTTTCGAAGCTGGAGCTTTTGTAAATGAAGCTTTTGAAACTAGAGCTCTGTAAATGAAGCTTTCGAAGTTAGAGCTCTGTAAATGAAGCTTTCGAAGCTAGAGTTTTGTAAATGAAGCTTTCGAAGCTGGAGCTTTTGTAAATGAAGCTTTTGAAGCTAGATTGACATGAGTGATGCTCATGAATGTTTATGTTGATTAACATGAGTGATGCTCATGGATGTTGACATGAGTGATGCTCATGAAATGTTAACATGAGTGATGCTCATGAATGTTGACATGAACGATGGTCATGAATGTTTATGTATGATTGTCATGAGCATGGTCTATAATATCCATAATATCCCGATATTTCTATCAAAATTTCCGTATTTTTGGACTACTGATATTTTTTTGGACTACCAATATTTCCGATATCATCGATATTTTAGGCCTTGCTAAGTCACTCATGTATCTTACCATGCAATGTATAAAGTGTAAAATATTGTACTAATTCATTATATATAAATGATTATAGTGTGTTTAAACTTATTTCATTAATTACTACATATTTTCTACACTCATAATGTTTGCCAGCTCACTATATAATCAACTTAAATCAGTTATATCTATCATGCAATGCACTTCCTTCTAATTTTTTGTGATAAACTAATAGATAATTGACTAAATAAACATCCTGCAAAGTTTCAATAAAAATTTCCAAGTTTTTCTTACAATTTCCGTGGTTTTTATTCAATTTTTATCGATATCGATAATATCCCAATATTTCCATCGAAATTTCTGTGTTTTTGAACTACCGATATTTCCAATATCATCGATATTTTATACCTTGGTCATGAGTGATGCTCATGTATAATTTTTGGAGTACTGGACGTACTTTTGATCACCTGGTTGGTGATAATAGCGGCAGGTTGTCGAATAATTTTGGAGTACTAGGCATACTTTTGATCACCTGGTTGGTGATAATAGCGGTAGGTTGCCGAATAATTTTGGAGCCATAGGGCCTGGCTCTTTTGGGCATATGGGCCTTCACCCTCCACATAACCTTCCAACCCATTATTTTTTGGGCTTGCTTTTATTTATTTTTTTATTTTTTATTTTTTATTATTACCCTCTGATGGGGTAACACAAATGTCTCTGAAAGATAAGGAAAATAAATTACATCATTCAAAAATAAATCCGACCCTTTACTCAATAGGTCACGCCCATAATTCCCTTTGTTGCATGCCATCACCACCGCAATTATGTCTGCTTCTTTTTATCTTCTTTTGCTTTCTGCTTTTGCTTTTGCTTTTCTGCTTTGTTGCTGCTGGGACCTTGTAGTGGGATGGCATGTGAGGAAAGCCTCCATTTTCTTTTCTAGCGCTCCATGGTCCACGAGTCACAACATGTTATCCACTGCACTCTTGATTCAACAGCTGTTGCGCCAGATGCTAATTGCTCCCTAAAGGTGGAGAACAAATTGCTTTCAGTCCCTTCAACATAACTTTAACTGTTGGAAAGCTGCAAAAGAAAAGGGTGAAGAGAGAGGTTTCTGTTCTCGATACTTTGTGTCTTCACGCACGATGCACATGCTATCTGGTATGCGTGGGCAGCTCCAAAAGAAGCTAAGTCGGCATGGGTTTATTCCCGAAGATGTACCAAGATGTAGCTTGAATGCAAGGAACCCAAGTATACTTCGTGCTGTTCTTGTGGCTCGTTTGTATCCAATGGTGGGTATATTGCTTCCTCCAAATCAGTAGCCAAGTTTTTACACAGCTCAACTTTCCTGATCGGCCAGCCCAGCAGCAGCGGTGAAAACGGCTTTTTTATCTTCAGTTCCTCACCGGGAGTCTCGAAGCTCGATCGGCTCGTACTGCTAGTCTCTCTCGAGTCACCGCCTCTCGAATCGGTGAGCGACTCACTTCCTCCGCCGCCATTGTCAGCTGAAGACTTAACAGACCTAATTCTTTTCTTCTGCAAATTCTCTTTTTTTCTCGTTAAAGACTTCATCTTTTGAACTTCTGAAAACGCATGAGCTGCTGCGTTTTACTGAAACCATCAGCTTTCTCTTCTCTTCAGAAACAACATGAAATCACAGCGACTTTACAAATCTTTTTCAAATCCATACTGAACAGGAAGCACAGAGTGCGTTTGGCGGAAAATGGCGATTTCCCAGGAAACCCAAGCTTTTGAATTGGCGATTTCCTTCTCGCGGAGGCCATTGGATTGGTCGAGATTTGGGGCTGCCGCTGCTCAGTCGGTTGGTAAGAGAAAGAGCGAGAGAGAGAGAGAGAGAGAGAGAGAGAGAGATCTGTGGGCTGAGAGGAAGCAAAGGTGTTGTTCATGTCGACGTCTGCCTTCTTGCAGACAATGTTGGTGAAACGGTGGTCGACACCTTTGTTGGAGGTCAGGGTAAACATAATCTTCTGGTTCTCACTTTAAACTAGTAGGCCCAATCGGAGCCCATTGCTTGAACTGGCAGGCCTTGCCGTCAGTGGTAGCTCTGAATTTAACGGCGGATTTCAAAGCAACGCGACGTTTGATGCAGATACCGAAGCCATGGGAGCTCTGGAGAATTGAAAAATGTAAATGGGAGAAATGAGAAGCTCAAAAAGCGCGGAATTGGCGATCGGCTTTTATAAAATGAAGGCGTTTTGGTGAGGTTGTGCTCTACGTTGAAATGCTTTGGGTTGTTGGGTTTTTGCAGATTCACAGTGGTGAGGTTTGATGAAAAAATGAAAGAGAACCGATATAGTTTTTTGTGTCGATTCCCACAAACGGCGCCAAATGTTGATGCACAAAATCAGAGGGTCTTGGCACAACGTAAATCCGACTGTGAATATGCAAGAAATGTAAATAACACAAGATGTATTGTGGTTCACCCCAATATTTGGGCTACGTCCACACTGATATTGTATTTCTCTAAGAAGATTGTGAGGGAGAGGGAGAGCTTCTCTGCGAGGATGAGAGCTTGAAGGTGAGGGGGGTCAGGCCTAAGAATTGGCCTCCCTTAATTGTGAGGGTGAGGGGTCCTTTATAGAATAAGGACTCCTCACTTATTACATATTTGCCTCTCCATTTATTACATAATTACATTTGAGTCCCCCGAGTATTTATATGAGGTCTAAATACGGAGGCCCTAAGTATGGTATAAACAAATTTAATTAATAAAAATAAAACAATCTGCAATATTAAAGCTGAAAGAAAAAGAAACAGTTTTTAAAATACCAATTTATAAAAGCACTAGGGTTCCACCATCACCTAGCAATCCTATGCATTTTTACCCTTTACTTATGATCTACACATGCCACTTTGAAGGTTAGGTTTTCCTAATATATATCCTACTTGGAACCTCCAACATATAACGTATATTTAACATGCAATCCGTCCGAACGTTCGGATCAAATATGAACATGAGAGACTCATTAAGTTTTATGAAAAACCCTTTGAAAAACTATGCAACCCTTAAGACGTGGTGTTCATCTGAAGTGAAATTACAATTATTAACCACAAGAAGCCAGCGTCAATTTCAGGAACCTTCCGACCAAAATTGTATCAAATTACTTTTCTAAAGATCTTAATGGTGATAAGACATTAAGATAATTAGATAGTTTTAATCACGGTGATGAATAATTCAAAGTGTGCATGCAATCAATCATAAGCAATTAAATAAGAATCACATATTCATGCTAAGGCTCAAGGCTTCGCCTAGTAATAGAAATTAGTTACGCATATTCATAATTGAAATCATAGAAAATATTATTAAGAATAAAATGAATGAAAACACCTTAAAGTAGAAAATCTCCAATAACCCTTGTAATTACTCTATATCTCCAAAGTTGCATAAAAGAAAGCGTACTGAAAAACTATGGACGGCAAAGCAATATATGTTGCTATCCATCGCACAAACCCTAAAAACCAGGTCCTTTATTCCAACTAGGAAACTAAGAATAATAACAAAATATCTTAGAAAATAAAATCATAATTAAGCTAGGAGAATCTGCCAAGTACTTGTCCAGCCACGTTTTAGTCTCAGATATCCTCCAAATCCGGCCCATGATAACTTGTTTTGAAGATCGGGACGTTCTGAACACATCTCCAGAAAGCCATAAATTCATCCGAGATCATATTGGACTCCAAAAACGCCTAAAATGTCACTATTCCAGCACATCGCATTGCTCCTCTATTTTATTGCCAGAAAATAATCGCTTAGTAGAAAATTATGAAACTTTGACACAATCAAGTCAACAGACTCAGAAATCACTCCAAAATTCATCTGTTTGACTATGTTTTGTTCTAGAGGAAGTCGAATGTCCTACATTGAAAATACATAACAAAGTATATAGTATAAAATCGACTCATCAGTAGCGTTCTAGAATTCATACAACTGGCCCCACTTAGTGAAATAAGACTTTGTGATTGTTGTTGTTGTAGATGTTACTGTACGTATAACTGCATTTGTTCCGAACTATTTAAATTTTCATCTTGAATGTCCTTAACCACTTAAGATACGTGTTCGTTGCGAGTCTCATCCCCTCCCACATGAAATTAGTATGGAGAAGGGATGTATGGGGAAAAAAAATGCTTTTTTTATTTTTTATTTTGTTTAAATATAAATGACAAAATCTTTGATTGACTATACAGCGGAACTCCAACATATTCCCCCAGCTACCCGAAAATGAAGGGTTCATAACAGGGTTCTGTACCTGTGATACTATAAACCAGTTACACAGAACAGCAGAGGTTTCTATTTACACTGCTGCTGAGATTTCGTTACCACATTTCAACATCGTAATGTTTCACCACCAGCGGCTAACTGGTCCATACATTATTCACCTTTCACGTATACGATAACATGACGCAGCACGGCATGTCGGACCAACAATTCTCAACCCCGTAAAGGGCTATTTCTTCGCAAACAAGAATGGATGGCTACGGTGACTATTACGAAGGGTCTAGAAAAGGGGATGTTGAGGAGCAATTCAAGTATAGGGCTTTCTTTGACGCTCGGACATTCTTGAGAGTCATCATTAGTTTTTGTCTCTCCCCTTCGACCTCTGCAAATTGAAGGCTTAACTGGGAGTAACGGTCATGCATGTCTTTGAGTTCTGTTTCCACGGTAGTATATCTTCCCTTAATCTCCAGCATGTCTTTAATTAGCTCGTTGATGTCTCTAAAGCTGTGAAACACTGCTTCCTCATCACTGTGTTGTTTCACGAAAGAACTGGAAAAGGGAGGATGTCATGTTAATTATTGAACTCAAAAGAAATTGTATTCCTAGTTGTGCTAATTTTCAAATAACCACTTTTTCCCCTAAAGGTCCAAAAACCAATAGATGAGTACATTATGAAATTCTTCTGGTTTATAATCGTACAAATTTAGCATCCCGTGCAAACCCAAAATACACCAAAGCCGGAAAGAAATTACCAGTAACCGCTGCAAAGGTTCTAGTTGACATGCATCTAAAGTCTAATCACGAAATTGATAATTTACTCAGTTATATGTACCTTTGAAACTGGATAATTGATTTCTTCTTTGCCCGCAATGCTTCAGCAAGTTCAATTTCCAAAGCTAGCACCCTCTCTAATGCATTGCCACTGCAAGAAAATTCATTGAATGAGGGAAATATATTTCCCAATTCTTCATTTGCCTAGTCAAAGATCCGAAACATGAAGTCAGTTCAGGGACATGCTTATACGAAACATGATATAGTTCAAGGACACGCTTATATTATAAGTTGTAAGGATCACAAAGTTATTGACCTTCTTTAATTGCATAATCTCTCTTTGTAAACCAGGAAAATTTGGGTCAAGGTGTTGATCATCGATTGGAAGAAGCAAATTTTCATGTTTCATCCTTTCCAACTGCAAGAAGATTAATACAGATAAAAAAAGATATGCTGCAAAAGAAAATTATATCTCAGGACCTAGATTCTAGAAACGATGTTGAGAAATTATTATCCAGTTCCTGCTCCCCAACTTTAGAAGATGAAACTGTAGCAATACAAAAGTATTTGCTCACTTGTGTTTGTATGAAATACATACCTCCTTATCTAAGTTTTCCATGCTAGACTTTAAGCTTTGGGCCTTAAAATTCTCGTTGGCAAGAACCAAATGCTTCATGTCGGTATTAAGAGTATCCCTTTGCTTTGAAAGTACAATACTAGAGATCCCATTTACACCTCTGGATACAAGATCATCCTGTCCAATGATGCACATATATTGTCAGCGACCAAAATTTCAGTACATAAACATGTAAAATAAAACAAAGTAAACCTTTTCTTTGGGAGAAATGACTATCCTATTCCTCTGCTAGAGATAGGCGGACTTCAAAATTTTGAAGCCTAAGCAAATCAATTACCAGTCAAGCACAAATTATTATCGCCTCTAGGAGAACAATATGTAAAGTTCGAAGAGGCTACTAGAATAAGCATACATAATCAGCAACACAAGTACAAGCTATGAATAACACATTCATAGCCAACTAGGCAGCCATATTGTAAAGATCATACTTGTAGTATTCTGAGTTGACCTAATGTAGGACTTCTTTCATAATTAGATTTCACCATTATTTCATGGAAACGTTGACAACTTTAATTGTGAACAAGGAGTTTAAACCTTCGAGGACTGATAAAAACTGGTAGTACCAAAGTCAACACGGAGTGCTTTGACTTTCACACCAATGGTGATACTTTCTAGGAAATGAGTTTAAGGTGAAAGCAGGGGACGTGAACTGAGTAAAGAAGGGCTAGCACTAAATGAAATAGGAGTGCTATTAGTTAGGTAATATATGGAGCAGCAACTCACTGAGGCACTGTCAACTGGTATAGTAAGAACTATAACTTCAGAAGAACCATCCAAACTCACTATGATGGAAAAGGTAGAAAAGCATAGCAAACTGAAAGCACGTCTTTAGAGAGGGCAGAATGATAAGGCAATCTTTGTTCACCTTCCCAGAACTTAATGGAAAATACTAACATGCATAGTGTATATAAGCTAACATAAGCATCTGGGTGCTACACATTTGCACAAAGAATTAGAGGTTTCAAAGTAGCAAATTACTCTAATATAGATAATCCTCATAAAAACAGTTAATTACCTGCTTGGAGTTTATATTATTGAGTACATTTGACTGGTCTGCTTCATCAATGGAATTCATGCATTCACGCTGAGATGCTTCACCATTGGCTACATCTAGCTCAGAAAACTTAGCTAAAGTTTCCTCTGCTATTCTGCTGCTTTGCAGGCCAGATGTGTCTGCGTCCCTCTGATAATTTATAGATGATGACGTGCTCTCAAGCAAGTCCTTTGCTGAGGTGAGTTCTAAAGCAATTTTAGCTTTTTCCTCGTTGCACTTCTGCAAAGATGCTTCAAGCTCTTGTTTTTCTGCCTTGCAGCACTCGAGGCTTATTAATGAGCATTCCTTTTCAGCTTTCATCAGGTCATATGCTTTCATTATTTCACGCTTTTCAGAAAGCACTGAATGTAGGTCAGACTCCAATTCCAATATCCTCATTCCTAGCTCTTCATTTCTCTTCACATTAGTAGCTTCTGATTTCTTCTTGTTCTCAACTTCATTGACTGCATCTTGTAATTTCCGGAGCATCTCCTCACTATGCTTATTGGACATAGCAAGCAGTTGTTTCAGTTCTTGCAGCTTGGTTTCATATTGTTCTTTGATGAATACAATTCTTAAGGACTCTGGCATGGCAGCTGGTGGCCCTCCTGGTTCTTTTTTATCCTGTGCATGGAGTCCCTCGGCATAAGCCTTGTCTTTAAGATCCTTAAAATGGATGGACAAGTTTTTAAACTCTTCCGTCTTTAAGACCTGTTCAGCAACCTTCTGTGTAAGCTCTCTACATCTATCGTGCAGCATTTCCATTTCATCCTTACATCCTTCCAGCAAGGTTATCTGAGCGGACTGTTCATCCAACTTGGCTTTGAGTACTAAAGCTTTGACTTCTAGTTCTTCCTTGGAGAATATCAGGTTATTGATCTCTTCTTCAGATGTCATTAGAAGATGTTCCAGCCTTTCAACCTCAAGAGCAGACTGATTTTTATCCATGCGGACAATATCCTCCGTATTATCAGCTCTTTTATTGTATTCCTCAAGTTCAGTCCTCATTGCACTGTTTGCATCAAGAAGTATCCTGTTTTGAGCACTGGAGGCGTCCAACTCAGATTTAAGGGAATTGAGACTTGTCATCAAGTGAGTGTTCTCTTCAAGGTAATGCCCTTCGCTAGCAAGACATTTGTTAAGCATATTATCTACATTAAGGAAATTGTTGCGAATATCAGAAACTTGGCTATCTGAAAAGTGCAGTTTCTGACACAGCTCTTCGATCACGACCTCATATTGAGTTTTTGTGAAAGTGAGTCCAACATCAGCAGCTATTGAAAATTCATGCATTTCAGATAACTGAGCTTCCAAAGCAGAGACTGAAGAACACTCTTCACGAGCATCTTTAAGACACTTCTCAGAATCCAACAGGAGACGGAGAACTCTTGATTTTTCTAGCTCTAGCTCCGATACCAATAGTTTGAGATGGACCAGCTCAGCCATCTGTTGATTGAAATCTAGCAACTGACTGTTCTTCTCATTCAATTGGGAAGTCAGATCTGTAATTCTACTCTCTGACTTATCTCTGAGATTTCTCTCAGTTTGCAACTCATCTTGCAAAGAGAGCAAACTTCCTTGCATACTATTAAGCTCCAGACAAAGCTTGAAAGATTCTTCAGTTTTATTCTGCAAGGACTCCATTAAAGCTTCTTTCTCCTCTGATAATTCTGCTACAGTCGGGTTATACCTTTCTAGTTCTTCAATCCTTGTCTCATATTGAACTTTGGTGAAAGTGAGTCCAACATCAGCAGCTATTGAAAATTCATGCATTTCAGACAATTGAGCCTCCAAGGCAGAAATGGAGGAACACTCTTCACGGACGTCTTTTAAACATTCCTCAGATTCCAACAAGAGACAGGAAACTCTTGATTTCTCAAGTTCTAGATCCGATACCAATTTTTTTAGATGGACAAGCTCAGCCTTCTGCTGATCAAAACCTAGCAACTGGCAATGCTTTTCATTCAATTGGGAAGTGAGATCTGTAATTGTACTCTCTAACTTATCCCTGAGATTTCTCTCCTTTTGAACCCCATCATGCAAAGAAACCAAACTCCCTTGCAAACTTTTAAGCTCAAGAGAAAGCTTGGAAGATTCTTCAGTTTTATCCTGTAAAGATGCCATCAAAACTTCTTTTATCTCTGAAAGCGCTGCTATGGTGAGGTTACACCTTCCTAGTTCTTCAATCCTGGTCTCATATTGAGCCTTTGTGAAAAACAGTCCAACATCAGTAGCTATCGAAAATTCATGCATTTCAAACAATTGAGCTTCTAAATCTTTTATACATTCGTCAGAGTCCAACAGGAGACAGGAAACTCTTGATTTCTCCAGTTCTAGATCGGATACCGATTGTTTGAGATGGACCAGCTCAGCCTTCTGCTGATCAAAACCTAGCAACTGGCAATGCTTCTCGTTCAATTGGGAAGTGAGATCTGTAATTTTACTCTCTAACTTATCTCTGAGATTTCTCTCTGTGTGGACCTCATCATGCAAAGAAAGTAAACTCCCTTGCAAATTATTAAGCTTGAGAGCAAGCCTGGAAGATTCTTCAGTTTTATCCTGTAAGAACACCATCAAAGCTTCTTTTTCCTCTGTTAATGCTGCTATGGCCAGGTTACACCTTGCTAATTCTTCAGTTACTTTCTCTAATGCCATAAATTCCTCAGCAAGGCCCTCGTTTTTAGAAGTAAGTTGCTGGAGCTCCATTTCTAAATTATCAAGATCAGACAAAAGCTCTCTGTGCTGTTGTGCATAATTGTCTTCAGCTTCAGAGCTAATCTCGGGTCTGTTTGCAATGGCCTCAACTCGTAACTGGAGCTTGTGAACCAGCGCACTCAAAACATCTAGTTTATCCACTGTACCTCGTAGATCATGTTCAAATTTCTGCTTCATCATCAGATTATCAGATTCTGCTGCGCGTAAAGACTCTTGAGCAATATCTCTTTCTTGCACTAGGTCTTTCTTCTCTTCAATCATCTGGACAGTCTTTTCATATACCTTGTTCTGAAACTCTTCTATTTGCAACAGTACACCTGTTAAATCTTTGGATTCCAAGTCTTGACAGACAGATCCACCGCAAGGAGCCAGGCTTTTATACTTTAGGTCATAAGATGCCAACAGATTCCATAACTTACCCTGTAGAAAGTTTACAATATTCTGCAGATCCTCCTTCGTGCAAGCAAGCTCATCAAAGTCAATTCTGACAGATTTCAACTCTTCCCGCAAAGAGGAAAGTCTATTTTGTAGAGTGTCGTTTTCTAAGGTTTCCTTTTGCAACAAATTTTCCAGCTGTAATTTTTCAGTAGTGCAGGCCTTGTATTTGCTCTCATAAGTTTCATATTCTTTTATCATACCTTTCCATTCAACAATCTTCTGGGTAAGAAGACCATTTTCACTGGTAGTGTTTTGTAAATCTGCTTCCAAAATTTGGTTCTTCAGAGCCAAGTCATTGCGGATCGAATTACAAGTTTCCTTGTATTCATTCAGGCAGCGAATCTCATCCAATGCAGTCTGCAGCCTCAGCATCAATAACTCATTGGACTCAGTTGAAAGCTCCAGCTGGTGTGAAAGTTCATGCATTCTCTCTTTTGTCAATCCGAAGTCAGCACTTGCTTCAACCAAAGTAACTTGTAGAGTCTTTGAGAATACATCCAAATACACATTCACCAGATGCACCTCATAAAGTTCTTCTTCAATCTTTTGGTAGAGCCCCTTCTGTAAGAGGAGGGATCTTCTCAAATCGTTTGATAATGCATCCCCATCTAACTTCTGATTCTTTGTCTTGTAACATTTATTCTGACACTGCAAATATTTTGCTGACAGAAAATCCTCTGAATCTGATTTCCGATTCTGCACTGTTTCTTCACACTCCTGAAACCTTGGAATCAAAGAATCTTCAAAAGCCTGCTTAATGAGGTTCTCATTAGTCTCATGCATGGACTGAACCTGGAAAGAAAGCAATTCAAGGTCCTTCTGTAACTGGTTCACTGCAATAGAGTAATTCATGCATGCCCTTTTAAGAGCTGCTTCTGCTGTAGTAGCCCTTCTTTCAAACTCCTTGTTCAGAGAGTCCAAATCACACTTTTCTTTGGAAAATATTATTCGCTCGTTGTTCATGTCTTGCTGGATTCTCTCCATCTCAGAGTTAGCAGATGAAATTGTGTACATGCAAGTAGAATGCTCATTTCTGAGACTCTGCAATTCTCCCATCATCTGTCTCTGGTTTTCCTCAAGTTCATGAATGAGAGCTTCATAGTAGCATTCCATCTGGTCTGCTTTCTTTGCAAGGCTTTCTCGATCAGCTCTCAACTCATCCAACTCCCTTAAAAGTTCAACAAATTTCCCTTTCATTGCATTGGCAGCATCTACAGTATCAAAGTCTTGCGACACCAGGCCAGGTATGCTTATACAATGAACCGCACCCTTGAGTTTATAGAAATCTGCATCCACCCTTGTTCCTAGTACTAATTGCTCACCTTTATGTAAAGTCATATCATCAGCCTGGTTTACGCTTGTCATGTTCATCCCTGAACTTGCCTGCCCAGTCTCTTGTTTGAGAACTAGCAAAACACAAAGCAATGCCTCGAAATCCGAGTGACAGGACTGGAAGTTCCTTTCATTTACTCCCAAGATTGCCTTCCTCTGAATCTCTTTTAATTTATCTTCCATACTTGAAAGCCCCTTAAACCACCTGAGGTGTAACTCATGAAAAATGTGAACTTGGCTTGTCTCAATACTTTCTCTGCGGGAGAATGGAATGGTTAAATTGAAACTTTTTTGCTCCTCAAGATCTTCTTTTAACTTTGAACATTCGGATCTCAGTACGGAAACTTCTTTTGCTAATTGTTCTCCAGAAGCAATTTCAGCATCAAGTTGAAAAGAAATTTTTTTAGCGTCATTGCCTATTTCATCAGCATGAAGCTGTAAAGAGCTCACCTCCTGCTTAAGCTCAAGAATGGATAATTCAGCAGCTTCCAAGCTTCCTCTAAGCCTACTATTTTCCTCATAAGTATTTGGCAAATCAGCATCTGCAGAAAAGTCAGAACCCCAGCTATGAGCCCACTCGCTGGTTCCCTGTGCCAAGAATCGCTGATCAGTGGGATGTCGTTTCTCTTGTCCAGGACTTTGACTAAGGGACAATCCCCCTAAATCACCAGAGGCGGTACTCTTAATACTATCAATCTCATGGGTGCTAGACGTGTCATGTTTCTCAGCATATAAACTTTCTGAAGTATTGGAAGAACATTCAAATCCACCAGTTGAATCTGCATACTCTTCATTCGGGCCAGCCCCCTCTTCAAGGGGAGAAAGTTCTTTGAATTTAACCTTCGAATTCATCTGTAGAAATAAGAAAACAGCATATATTATCACAACATATGCAAAACACCTATCACAAAGATAATAACTCCATATGGTAAAAGAAGTCATATAATGCACTGTGTAAGTTTGTCAATTTGTGTCAAATAATTTGAAATTTTCAAACAATCTTACAATTACAAGAAAAAAGTATAAAATTATCACTCTCAGAATTTGTGAGAAAGGTTAAGTTTCTCAGTAACCAACTCGACGGATATACACATAAAACTCTGCAAAAGCAGGACCTATCTTTCTCATCTGTCAACCCGTTAATGCTTGAACATCATAGCAGCAACAGTGAGCCTAATTTCATCTTTAATAGCATAAACGCATTCTGAGAAAGGTGTTTCTTTTGGCCGGCAGCATGTATCTTCCACACATGCATGACAAACCTCAGAGGATTAGTCAAGGCAAATCATGTCATAAAAAGACATGCAACCAGCATACACCAGACAAAAAGAGATAGAGATAGATCCATAGATGTACTATCACAAGAAAGAGTGATTGAAATAATATTTTTCCAACCCTATCTCCTATTTTATTGAGTGTGTTCTGGAATTTCGGGACGTTCCATTAGTAATTTCTGTCTTGATTTGTCTTGAGTATTGTATTGAATGTGGTTTTGGTTCTATTAATGTTTAGGTTGTTACGCCAAGGTGCACTCTGATCTATCATTTGCTCCTTTTTCTTAAAATCTTTTGATTTCTTTTTTAAACAAAATACAGAGTGAAATAAAAATGTCAACAGAAACAAACATATATACTACGGGATAAATAGAGACAGAAGAGAACGACTAACCTTATCCATCTGATCATTCACTGTATCTTCAGAAGATGATATCTTTCTAGTAGTGGATACATCATTTCTATTTTGGTCAGAGGTTGTTCGTAGACCACTCTCTCTGAGCTCCCTCTGCTGCTCAAACTCTCTGAAAGTAAAAGAACTACAAATTAACAACTGAAATTAGTTAAAGCAATATGTTTACATGTTTTAATGCTTACCTGAAGCCAGTTTTAGAAGTTAGCAGCTGCACTGTGACCTGGCATGGAATAAGACAAAAAAAAAAAAATTTGCTAAACACGATCATATGGTAGTTGCCAACCAGTAATAACAAATTACTGGAAGCTAAATGAGAAATCAACTAGTTTTCCTAAGATAACACTATGTCTAAAATAATTTGAACTTCAGAGATTCTCACATGTAAAACAGTTCCAGAATCACATCCAAGGAGTAGAAGTGCAACAGACGAAGGCTTTGAAGCATCAGCATAATCAGCAAGGTTGATATTAGTCTCGCCAAGGATACTAGACCTTGAAGAACCCTGATGTCAGTTAGATTTAGGCCAAAGACAAAGTTAAACTCAGTTTAAACAACGTAATGGCTGCAGACAGTTGCTCTGGCGGTGATTAGGGACTAGAGAAAACTAGGTTATAAATCAACGGAATTTGAAGCAGAAATCTATGAATACATAAAAATTCTGGAGTATTACCATGGTTACCACAAGTTTGTAAAGCTTCTCATCGTATTGTTTGGTTTTAGTGTCTTGTAGAAGTCTTGTAGTTTCATAGATAGGATCTCCCCATTTACAGGTCCCATTCCTTACATTTGCCTTGGTAGTTTTTGCAGTTGCTTTTCCGGAATCAGCAGGTATGAAAGATATAAACAGCTTATCCCATCCGGTTTGTGGAACCTGAACCATGCAGAAACATTATATTTAGTCGTAGCATAGATTGTGGCTGCTAGATATATAACACCACGTTTCACCATCATGCTATGGGAAAAATACAAACTTAAGATGGCTTTCAGTTACACTTTAAGCCATTAGCCATAAGAAATTATAATTGAATAACAAGTCAACTAATGAGATCTATGGGCTTGCATTACTAACATGAAGTTTACGTCGATTTTAGATTACCTTACACATCATATGACACAACTGAATACCAGATTCAGGCCAGGCCATTGCCAGGAAAATCCCAGTAGTGACACATACAACATACAAAAAAGTTGACAAGACAAAGCCTATTTTTTGGTACAATCTAAATGAATCCAGATTGACTGCTTAGAAGATTTAATTAACACTGACTAATGCATCATTAAGCAGTTGACTTAAAGACATTCTATTTCACCTTACAATCCAGAAGTTTATGCACGGGTTCTATAAGAAGTGAATACAAAGTGGGAATGTATTAAAACTATCAACTAGATATAGTTTCAGCAGTAAATTCTAATAAGTTACAACTTACATTTGTGGCATGGAATTGTAGCCTGAAAACCACTTTGACTTTTGTCTTCTCAAGCTTCCACCTAGTGACCCTTGACATTACTAGATAGTCTATCTATTTCTAGTCAACTGTGGAACCTTGATGGTTACACTCTCATTCTCCTGCACCGTTGTAAATCAATTAAATTCAATCGCATTGTATCCACGAAAAATGGAAGGTAAGTTGCAACTGATCACGCAAACTAAGAAGTGCATCTCGTGGATGATCATAACTAAGCCAGAGAAACAAAGACATATTTTGGTGCTCACAATTGCTTATAAACCAAGTAGAAAAACAAAAGGTTAGATAGGCAATCCCCTTTCCCCCTCCCGAAAGTTGAACCAGAATGTGAATAAAAAATGCTGGTATAACCAAGTAGGACCATTATCAGAAATAGCATACCAAAAAGGTCATATCATGCTGCATTATCAAATTCAAGTAAATGCATTAAGGAAAGATCATCATCAATTTTCAACATTAACAGAAGTCAAAGTAAAACTAAAACCAACACTTGTACAAGAGTAAGATTCCTATTTGGTCTAGTCAGATTCAGCAACATCCAACAAACTAATCCAAGATTTTCCTTTTTCCAATCAGTTTTCTGCTCTCAGTAACCAAACAGAAGAAATGTAATCTAAGAGAAAACAAAAGGTTGAGCAGGGAACCGATTTGGGAAAGAATCAAATCCAAATTCAGAGCACATTGCCTTGTACAACCAGGCAGGGACTTTCCAAAATAGAAAACCCAGAAACAATTTTCAAATCCCAGTTGAAAACACACCGGATCCAAACCCAGAAAAAGAAAGAAAAAAAAGCTGGGGAAATTCAGATGGCAGCTTGCTGCTAGGACACTGAACCCAAAGAGACTTGACAAAATACCTAAAACGACGCCGTCAGAGAGAATCCCATTTCCCAAACCAGAAATGGCTAGCTAAATGTGGAAATTTTCAAAAACCCAAATCACTGTTTGTCCAGAACAACAAATCGTCAAAACCCCATGATTTGTAATTTCAATATAATGTCAACATGCAGCTAAAACCACACAGATACTTACATTACAAATGTGAAGAAATTCAAACCCAATTATCAGAAACGCCAAAAAATTGCAGTGGGAATGTGATGGGAACAGGGGCAGCAGTAAAAACTAGTAAAGATAACACCTTTGAGTCTCAAAATTCAAAACCCATAAATAAAATATAAATTAAAATACATAAATGTGTGGAGTTTTATGAAAAAAGAAGATTAAAAATGTTGGGTGATATTATATTGCCAATGGGGGTGCAGTACCTAGCTGTGGATCTGTAGAACAGTAGAGGGTGCTTAAGGTGGAAGGAACAGCAAGTAATCTTGGGTAAGAAGGTAAAGACTCTGATGAGAGAGAGAGATTGTCAGTGAGTGTGAGGTTTATGGGTTGGTGGCGTAAATAAGCAGTAAATGGAGGGGTTAAGAGCATTAGTAAGGTGAGAAGGTGGTGGCTTTCAGCTCAAATATCAACTTCAGGTTCTGGAAACCCGCCAAAGCCTGCATTTGTCTGTCTCTTAAAATCTTCATTTTTTAATTTTTAATTTTTAATTTTTTTTTTCTGCTTTTTCTTGTGGTGATGTCATTGTCGTCTTGGTATGTGTCTGTGACTCTGGGTTTTTGCCTTTTACTACTGTTGGAGTAGTTGGATCTTTGGTACAATACCTCCTTTGGGTTTTTGACCAATTTCGCACTAATTTGGTTTTATGTGAAGAAGCAATAATGATAGGTGCTAAAATGGTAGTATTTTTAATTTTAAATGAATAATCAGATAATTTAAATTACATATTAATGAACTCTCATTGTTAATCAAAACTTTATCAAATTATCAATTTAATTCTCTAATTAAAACTGAACATGAATAAGAAATATGAGCATAAATGTAATTTTACACAACCAAAATTTTGCTTTTTTTTTTAAAGCCTCATCTACATGTGATTCTAACAGATCTCCAATTAAAGAGAACTTTAATGAAATGACTTAGGTTAAGTTTGTTTTTACAAAAAAATCCGTCACTAACTTTATTTAATGTAAAAGCCTTGAAATTTAATGAAAATGACAAAAAACAATATAGTAAGGGCAAAAACTAAGACCTCATAAATAGGAAATAAGCCCATGTGCAAAACAAATTTTTTTTTCTTCAACTAATACTCCTAACGAAAACCCCGTTCCATCAGTCCAATTCCATTAGAAAGTTGCTTTTCCATTATGCTTTGAATTGCATGAAAAGTTTGTCGGGGCCATACTCCCATTGTATATTTGTTTGATTGTGTCTGCATGAAAATGTGAGAAGAATGGAATTTAAATCAGAGCCATCGATCAAAAAATTGCATGATTAAATTTGACATGTTCCAAATTGGCAGCATCGCCCCACCGCTTCCTCCCTAATCTACAAAACTAGAACCTTCATCCCCAATTATTAGTCCATTATAATTATTTAATTATTAATTTATTAGCTATTATAAATAGGCAAAAGTTAGAGAGATAACCTTTGCTAGGAACTGGAGCGAAGCAATTGCAAAATATTATACCAACACAAAATGATTACAGAGGAAGTGATGTATATTATTGCTATTAGTTGTGTTTCTCTTCAAGTCTAATTTGATCAAATGTAGTGCTCTATTTATAGAGCAATCTCATAGAAAACAAACAAATGACACTATTAAACTTGTGAAAGGGTTACTATATACATGTGGGCAAACATACCCACTATTTTACAACACTCCCCCTTGGATGCCCACATATCAACATCAGTTGCCTCATTAAAACTTTGCTTGGAAAAACCTAGTGGGAAAAAACCATAGCGAAGGAAAAAGAGTACAACTTTACCCGGATGGTGTTGAGCATGCTTATGTTGCCTCGTTAAAACCTTGATAGGAAAAACCCAATAGGAAAAATCCTAATCGAAGGAAAAAGAGTACAACATGCATGTATCATGGATGCTCCCCTTGAATTGTATCTCCCCCTGATTCCGAATTCTTCAATTTTGAAAGCCGATGTAATCCGATTCCCTGGACTAACTTTTAAAATGTGCACTTTGGTAGAGATTTGGTGAACAAGTCTGCTAAATTTTCATTGGAACGGATTTGTCTGACTTCAATAACTTTAACCTTCTGAAGCTCGTGTGCACTGAAAAATCTTAAAGATATGTGTTTAGTCTTATCACCCTTAATGAATCCTTCCTTCATCTAGGCAACACAGGCTACATTATCTTCATGGATGATAGTTGGAGTGTCTGTCTTTGAAGGTAGACCACATGAATTCCGGATGTGATGGATCATTGATCTTAACCAAGAACATTCACGACTTGCTTCATGTAAAGCAATTATCTGAGTGATTGGAAGATGTAGCAACTAGCGTTTGTTTCGTTGATCGCCATGAAATTGCAGTATCTCCATTAGTGAACACATATCCATTTTGTGAGCAGGCTTTATGCGAATCAGAGAGAAAACCAGCGTCTGCGTACCAACAAGGATCTGTTCATTTGTAGGCTTGTCTGAGTAGAAGAGACCCATATCTGTTGTCCCACGAAGGTATCGTAGAACATTTTTGACTCCCTTCCAATGGTGAATTGTTGGAGCAGAGCTATACCTAACTAACAAGTTAACTGAAAAAGCTATATCTGGTCTAGTACATTGTGCTAAATACAACAAGCACCTATTACACTCAAATATGGTACTTCTAGACCAAGGACCAGTTCATCATCTTCTTTTTTGACGGAATGGATCTTTCTTAATGTCCAAATAACGAATGACCATTGGGGTGCTAAGTGGATAAGCCTTGTCCATGCCAAATCACTTCAGTATTTTTTCAATGTAAGTTGATTGATGGACCAAAATTCCATTAACACAATGCTCGATTTGCAGACCGAGACAATATTTTGTTTTCCCAAGGTCTTTCATTTCAAATTCGCTTTTCAGATATTCAGCAATTTTATTGAGCTCTTCAAGGGTTCCAACTAGGTTCATATCATCGACGTATACTGCCACTATAGCAAATCCAGTATTTGATTTCTTAATGAACATACAAGGGCAGATGACATTGTTGGCATATCCTTCTTTAATCAAATATTCACTGAGACGATTATACCACATTCGCCCAGATTGTTTCAGCCCATAAAATAATCGCCTTAATTTGATTGAGAACATACCTCGTGGTTTGTTAGTTGCTTCAGGCAACTTAAGTCCTTATGTGACTTTCATATATATGTCAGTATCTAATTCTCCATATAGATATGCGGTGATAACATCCATAAGTCGCATGTCAAGTTTTTCTAAAATCACCAAACTTATTAAGTAACGGAACGTAATTGCGTCCATTACAGGACAGTGTCTCTTCATAATCAATTATAAGTCTTTGTGAAAAACCTTGTGCAACGAGTCGTGCTTTATATCTTGCAATCTCGTTTTTCTCATTGCGTTTCCTTGTGAATATCCATTTGTAACCTACAGGGTTCACACCAGGCGGGGTTTGGACTACTGGTCCAAAAACACGTCGTCTTTCCAAGGAATTTAATTTTGCCTGGATTGCATCTTTCCACTTAAGCCAATCATGTCTCTGCTTACATTCATCAACAGAGCGGGGCTCAATGTCATCGCTTAATATAATTTCAGTGGCTATTGCAAATGCAAACATGTCGTCGATGATTATTTCATTTAGATTCCACAATTCATTAGTACATGCATAATTTATGGATATTTCTTTGCTTTCATGTACTTCTGTCTCTTCAGGGACAGGTGTCTCAGTAAGGACATTTTCTTTTTTTGGAAGTACAGAATCATGAATTGTGGATTTATCATTCATTTTCTTTTCTTGAATGATTTCATTTGGGTTTAACTGTGTCTTCATCTTTCTCTTTCAAGGGGCTGAATCTTTTTAACCTGGGGGTCTACCACACTTCAGGCGTGCATTGGATGAATCATTCACTTCCACTTTATTTTGTCCAACATGGACATTGTTGATGCACAAAATCAGTGAGGACTTTGGTACAACAGAAAATGTTAAGTTTGTGACCTTAGCTAGATTGCTCCGGTCGCTAGTGTGGATAAGTATGTAAATGGATAGGGACAAAGAAGCAAACACAAGATGTACGTGGTTCACCCAAATTGGCTACGTCCATGGAGTAAAGGAGTTCTCATTAATTGTGAAGGGTTTACACAAGTACATAGGTTCAAGCTCTCCTTTAGTGAGTACAAGTGAATGATTTAGTACAAATGACATTAGGAAAAAGTGAGAGAATGATCTCTATTTATAGAAGAATTTCTAGTTTCATTCTGACATTGACACGTGTCGTGTTGTGATTGGCTTCTGATGTTTACACATGTCGCGCTATGATTGGCTTCTAATATCGACACGTGTCGCACTGTGATTGGCTTCCTGGTTGGAGGGAAACTCTTCTAGGTCCTTGACGGTATAACGTTGACCAGTGCTCAGTAGTTTCGGGATTGGTCAAGTATGGTACAAACAATGCTCCCCTAAGTTCTCGAGTGAGGGAAGCTCCTCGGTTGGGGACTTGCAAGATCCAAGCCATTGAGTAATCACAAAACTTCTAAGTACCGAAGTGTGGTATCATTTTCACTTGCCTTATCTGTCTCATACGTAGATATGGCATCTTCTCTGGAAGTCCTTTTCCTTCATCCAAGGGTGGTATCTTTAACCGATGAAGATGCACAAGGTAATGTATCAATTTCACTTGAAGCTTACTTGTAGTTTCGGGCTTGGTCAAGTGCGATATAAAACCCTATAGTAGGAGTCCCCCAAGTCGCCGAGCTAGAAGATTTGCCGAAAGAGGTAATAGACAAGGTAAGCAGTCAGACTTCCAAGCAAGTAACCTGGATCGGAGGTTTGACTTCGGCTTCCGGTTGATTGTTCTTCTTCTCCTTGTGTCATAAACAGCAACAAGGATAAGGAGAAGCAAATGGAGAAGAGATGATATGAGATACTTTTGCTTTTGAAGAAGTAACTTTCCACAGGCTTATTCTTGAACTAGGTTGGAGGGTTTTCTGTTTTCCTCCAGAGTATAACGCCGACTCAAGAATTTGAGGGTCAAAACAAGTCCATCAAATCAAAAGTACGTTCGACCTTGATGATATAGGATACTTTTGCTGTTGACGAAGTAATAGATGAATCGGCACGTGTTCTGTTGTGCTTGTCTCCACATGCTTCATTGTATCCTTCTCACTTGCCCTATATGTTCCTCAGGTAGATGTGGTATCTTTTCTGGAAGTATAAGATGTTGAAGATGAGTACCCA